GCAAGATTCAGAAAGTTTCAAATCAAACGCGAAAATTTTCATGTACAGAGAGACTTAGAAACTCAACGACACATACAGAAGATGAGGAATCGATTGAAGAGATCGAAGGGGATTTGCAGTTGCAGATCTCTTACTGCTTGCTCCAAGTTCTGTTGGTACTTCTCTCTCGAATTCAGCTTTTGCCTGAACTTCTCTCATTTGCATGCTTATTCTTCTCTGTATTCATAAATTAGTTGTGAAATTTATGAAATTAGGAGTTGAATGAGCAATTTTTATTTGATTTCAACTATATTTTGAGCTTAGTTATGTTTCATAAGTTACTTGTGAAATTTGAGATCGAAATCGATCTAGAAACAGAAGGATTTGAATGTTTCAATAAGAAAAACTTGATGAAGCTCTTTCATATGCAATAGTTCTTCATGTTTTGTGAAAATACTAACAGTAAGCTGAGTAGCAATAAGATGTTTCTAGAAAATTTTTTTGGTTTCCTGGACACTGTCCTGTTTGGATCTTGATTTTACACTTTTGTTGCTTTTCAATAATAATATGAAATAATAGTCTCTACTCTCCCAAGTCCGATCTCAACAATCAATTCAAAATGAAAATCATTAGTTCGTGGGTTTATTGTGAACCCAGGCTCGTGGGTTCGCGATGAACCCATGAGCTGGGTTCGTCACGACGAACCCAGGCTCCTAGGTTCGCCTAAAGGTAAGAAAAAAAAGAAAAAAAAGGCTGAAGAAAAGAGAGGATGGAGGAAGAAGATGAGGGTAAATTGGTAATTAAAGATAAAATTTGGTCATGTCATCGAGTTCTGCTAGATGGATATTTCATGTAATTAAAGTAAAGAAAAAAATAAAATTTTTCATTAATTAACCTGTCACATCAGCTAAAATTTAACGGAAAGACTAAAAAGGGGTCGAATTTGTGAACAATAAAGACTAAAAAAAAGATTTTTTCGGTATAAGAACTAAAAAAAAACTTTTTCTTATAGTTGAGGCACAAAAAGAGGTATTTAACCTTTGCAGCTTTCTACTTACTTACCCTTGAATTTGATTTGACTACGGGTTCTCTCCTTCTCCCTTTTTTTAGCTGTCCGCTCCCAAAAAAATTCTTCTATTTTTTTTAAATATTAATTTTGATATTTTAA